TACTGCTTTTGCTTTCATTTTCCTCATCCGAATCATCCGGTTTTCTTTTTCCTGATCGAATAAAAGAATGAGATAACCGCAAATTTCTTGTTCGAGGTAAAACATTGGGAGACACTTACCAGTGGTGATAGGTGGTTGTACGATAATTCGGATGTTACTAGCTGATTCGTGAAAATATTCTCCAACAGTTTCGTTTGGGAGCAACTCCTCACCTTCGTATTTTTTGATGTTTTCGGAGTACATTATTGTGTCCTTGTTTTCTCTAGTGATAGGAATATTCACATTCCATAGCTTCAGATCGTTGGCGTCAACATTGGCAAAGGTATTTTCCTTCTTCTTTTTGATGAGTTCCTTGAGATGCCCAACGGTCATGTCTTTACTAAAATCAACCGGGAAAGAATTCCCAATGGCATCACCTAAAACGATGCAAAAAATCTGGAAACTCATTAAAATTACTTATAAAATTATATAATTTGTAGAATTTTAAATACCATGATTTCTCCGGTATCAGATAACATTACATATATAAGTTACGAAGTCCCAAAAATGGTTAGAGTGTTTAAAATAAAAAAAATGTTTCAGTTCACGGCACGTAATCTGGCGTATTTATAATTTCCGTGTGATTAGTGATGTTAGTAATCTCATAAACAATAATGATAAATACATAAGGCTTGGGCTGTACGTTTATGTAATCCGACTTACCGAAAAAACTATGTATAAGGAGACTAATAGAAAATATCGAATTTATGTGCACTTCGCAAGCAGAAAAAATTAAAAGCGTTCTTATCATATCACAGTCTGAAGGAAAATACAGCATACTAAAAATTCCGCAATTAACCGGGTGAAGCTATACGTACTATTTTTTTACATTCGTAGTCAAATGATGTACGACATATAACCTCATTATTTTAGCCAATAGTAACAATATCACGCATTTTTTTTGGTGCTTACCACTTCCGTTAACCAGGTGACCGTTGATCAGACCCTTTCATTAGCAGGGCATAAACCTTACTTTTACAAACGAAAAATCGTTGGTATGACAGAAGAAAAATGAGTCATATGGATTTGAAATGGGTCAGGCAATAAGGCTCACAAAGAGGCCAAGGCTCACCAAAGCGTTCGTTCTCATTATACCGCAGTCTAGAGGAAAATATGGAATCAGAGGCAATGGCATATTAAAAATCTCTCAGTTACTCGCCAAATTAATGATAATAATTTTGCATTGATGATTTCTTCGCAAGATATAAATATGGAACCAGTCATAGATAGAATCTTACATACTCTGTGTAGTTTAAAAATTCGAAGGTGGAGAACTCGCATTCCCAGAGTCAAAATTGCCTGTTCACGTTAAACAAGGACAATCGAATCAGTAGTTCACCTTTTAGTTCATGGAAATCTCCCAATTATTGCTGGAGTAAGACACAGCACTGTTTTTATATACATAGCACGGTGATCAAGCAGAAGCGCAAATTTGGCTCTTTGCCGATTACGAGTTGGACTGGGATCATAATAACAAGGATGAGGCATTATCAAAATATCTTCCCCCGATGCTTGGTTCTGGAGATAATGTGGTGAAACCAAAAAATCATGGACGAATGAATATAGGTATGTGTAATTTTTACATTTAACCACTCTGCCTCTGGTAATTTAATGTATTTAACGATAAGAGTCTAATATTTATCTCATGTTAAAAGATGTAAAGCGGGCAAAGGAAGGATTAACTGCGCGATATAAAAATAATGTTTCCTGATGAGTTATAACGAAAATAGAAACCTTATGAGGTTTCATCCAATTGGGGATGTGGGGTCACGACCCCACTGTTTTAGCGGTTATAAATACATCGAATTTTTAATGTAAATATATCTTTGATCATCACGGTTAAATAAAGATTTTTGTATATACTGTAAACATATTATTTTTTTTCTTGGCAAAAGTGATCGATTGTGAATAATATAGGCTCAGTTACGATTTGAATGAATGCGCTTTCTATATAAAGTAATGTCTAATATTCAATCCAAAATCTCTTCGTTGCAAGAATTAAATTCTCAACTCATCGCCACGATCGCTGAGCTTAGAAATGAGAATGCCGAGATCAAAGCCGAGAATACAAAATTAAAACAAGATAAAGAAGAAATCGAGGCCAGATTTGTAAAACTAGAGCGAAGCGATAAAGAGAATGCCGAACTTAAAGCTGAAGTAGCGAAATTAAGACATGACATCGAAGAAATCAAACTACAAACCCTCGTCATTTCTAATGAACGGGACGCATCTCCTATTGAGGATATTTCGCAGTCATCCACTTGTCTAGAATTACTTGAACCGGAATATAGCACGACACAATCTAAATCTCCAACAGAACCCGAACCACTTATTTGTTCAAACCCCAAATCACCAGAAGATAAGGAAATGGATGATTTTCAGGATCGAGTACATAAAGAACATATTAGGAACGAAATAAGAGAAAGAAAAAGAGAAGCAAAACTTAGAGCTCAAGATACTTCGGAGCCCCCAAGTTATCATATGATACAAAAACCACTAGAATTACCGAGGATCGAAATTCAGGATTCTTATATAATACAAAAAATGAAACCTCAAGCTGTAGCCAAAATATTATCACTGATTATCAACCGCGCGACCCCGGGTCGCGCCCTCATATACCTAAAACTTCATACGATCCAGTGTCTCACATTAATATAACTACGAACGACTCCACGCAAAAGACTTCGATCCAGAAAGATAGTCGGATCGAGATGGAAAAATTTATACAAGAATTGTATTTAGAACCTGTCTCAGAGGAAACAATCGAAGTTATCAGTAGAAGTAAAGAGCCAGATACACAAATTCGCTCTGAAAATGACAAGCATGTAGCCATCGAATTGGCTCATTTGTATCAAAAAGCAAGGAAGGCCAAAAAGAATACTGTACATGCTAAACAAGAAGAGATTCTAAGTTGGTATTATTATGCGAAAGGTTTCGAAAAGAGGGTTGATGATATCTTATCTATTTGCCGGAATGATAAAAGAGCAGACGACTTGGCAATAATTCAAGTTTATGATGAAATCTGGGATTGTCTTTCTGGCATCTCACGTGAAAATTTCCGCAAGCAAACTCAAAGAGCTTATAAGATTTATAAATTATTTGAAGGCATAGGAATAGAAAAGATTAAACGGGTTAAATCTTATAGCGCCAACGGGATATCAAAACTCACTAACCCTCAAATTCAACATATTATAGATTATTTTACCAATAAAAAGATTATAATGGAATGTCAACTGTGCGACCCCGGGTCTCACCCTTATATAACTAAATCTTCTAACTCAAATGATTTATTGGAAACTGAGGCAAGTGTAACATCTAATCCAATTCATGACCATGCTTACTTTCGTAATAAGATATTGTTACGATATTCTGATCTATATAAAACATATATTACTGAAAAATTTGATTACTATGATATTATTAAGGGATCATTATGCCCAGTATGTAAATTACATCATGAAGATGGGAAAAGTGTAAAAGGTAGATATGAAGCTGGATCCTATTTTATTATATGTGGAAAGCGTGAAATCGAAATAACAGAATAAATCATAAAGTTATACAAATTCTTCTGTTTCAAATGATCGTAAATTAATTAATGATATTTATTTTTTAATTGTGTCTACGGCCAATGAATAAGTCACAACTCATACTTAAATTGAATTTGCAATTGTATAAAACAATAATATGGATAAAACCTTAACTCCCGAATATTTGGACTGGCATGTTAAATTGATTGATTCACCGAATCATTTGACAGACAAAATTCGTTTGAACTTATATAGAGCATATACGGAAGAGACTGGGCTCGATCCCTGGATAAAGTCTGAAACTTCTGAATCCTTACAAATCGAAAACGCTGATAATCATCTTTCACGAGGCTATATTATTAAGGTTTCTAAATTTCCAGAAGAGAAAGATGTGATCATTGAAACCGTACAGAAACGATTCCCTTTCTTGACATATACTAATTCAAATGCATGGTACCGAGATGTTTTTAAATATACCGATTCAGAAGCTAAATGCCCAGTATGTAAAGAGGTACATACACGTAGAGGTATATGGGGCGACTGGAGTTATCTAGGTAAAAATGATCACTATTTTCTTAATTGCCCTTTTCGTATCGATCAAAAGAAAGTTATTATTGCCATACAGAGCTTACCAAAACTCAGGAAAAGACACCAATTCCAAATAAGATTTATCAGCCAGAGGCTAGCTTGCGCCAATATGCCATAGAACATAAAATGAATCCCAAAGAATTTTCAATCATTACTGAAGCTGAGAAATATAAATGAACTATGGGATGTTTTCCTGAGGATTTGGAAAGAGACATACGATACTATCGTGGAGGAATAGAAAGGAATGAAGACCCTAGAAAATATCATAAATTTTTATCAGATCGAGATAGACTGGTAGGTGAAGAGTTATTACGTCGCAGTATAGTAAAGAGTGGTTTGAGTACCGCATGGCTAGACGATCTGATGAAAGAATGGGAAGAAGTCCATACTCAATTTGTACAAATTTTTAGTCAGGCATAATTCCCATAAAATTTCTAGGCAAAAGTGATCGGCATGAACAATTGTGAACGCATACATGATTTTTTATTTGAATATACCCGTATATATTTTGATGAAGATAACATCCAAAGACAACTTGTATAGATAAAATACGATATTTATAATTGAATTCTTTTTCTAACCTTCTATAAAGCAATAGATTACTACCTATATTAATTGGTCGTTCAGGTAGTGGATTTTTCACTGTTTTTAGCATGCTTTTTATCATACTTTTTTTCTTCACATAATTGATTAACTCGATCACCACCTACATTAATTGGTCGTAAAAGAACTCAAAGGACTAAACTTATATATAAACGATAAATATCTCACTACAATCAATATATATGTATAACTCACATTCTTATTACAAGTATCCTCACAAATTATGACTAATATAATACTTCTGAAGAGACCATTTAAAAATCAAATCCCGCTAAAATTGAATCACATTATTCTATAGTATATGTAATCAAATCTGATTAGGTCTCAATCCTTAAATTACATATATCCACATAACCTCTAAAACCGTATAAATAGGTCATAAAATGATTCGCATGGGTGAAGCATATGGTGCTAGATGCTCAGACGAAGAATGGTATGAAATTTGTAAAATGGGGGTTGTTAGGTCAGATGAAACTCCAAGTGAATGAATGAATCGAATTTGGTCCCGTTTACAGTATTTCAGAGAAAAAATTGATCTTTTACTCCACCTTCTTGTGCTTCTCACTCGAAGCCAGAAAAGCAGATAACTTATACTAATAATCTATATTGATAATTTATATAAGCTGACCATGAACAAACATAGTAAAGTGAATTGTCAGGGGCAAAAACCTAAAAAATATAATACCTATGATATGAAAGCACTACGTTTTTATGAATTGTGGATGCACAATGCTATCAGAAAAATTAAACGTGCTAGAGAAGTTGGTAAAAAAATCCAAGCATGTATAACTATACAAAGAAAAGTTCTTGAGCGATTATACCATCCCAATGGATTAATTGCTAAGGAATTAGCATTACATTATGCTTATTTGCAAAATATTCGAGAAGAAATGCGTCGAGTTAACAATGCATAAACTATATATAGAAATCACAATTTAAACTATTTATTTGATAATATCTCATTTATATATCTATCTATTATTTGAAATAACTCATTTATATTTAACTTATTTGATTTATATTTTTTGCATGCAAACTTTTTGTCGGCAAACCAATAAATAAATGTTTCATCCTGATTACAATCCTATTATAACAAAGCTTCCAAAAAGTCTAGTTAAAAGGGCTTACCACAGACTTTTATACCACTCTAGATCCCCTGTTACATCGGATCAAATTTCTGAAAAGTGTGACCGAATTGAAAATTATTTATATCATACATTGGAAGTATATAAACAGGGATTAGATCGAAAGCGTAAAAAACAAATCCAAACTATAAAATCACTTGAAAATTTATCCAAGGCTTATGTAAAGATGCCCTATCAGGAAATCCAAACCCAGACCCAAGATACTTCACCTATTCACATTTGCAATCATGAGAAGGAGATTAATTACAGGGTTAAGAAAGAAGTTGATATTTTATTCCAGTGATTACTCGAACATAATGAAAAAACTTTTAATACTTTTATACAAAAATTGCAATCAGATGTTGAAGATAAGAAAATACAATTGCTTCTCTGAAATCACGGAATCCAATCTAATATCATATCTAGTGTTGGGTTTTTACTTAATAAAAAGTAGATTAATTCATCAGAAATAAATGGACATTTCTTTACATTGAAAACTAGTAAATTAGAACAGTAATGTGCAATTTCATATATTGTTTTATCAGTGATGTAAATATATTGAAAACTAAGATTCTGAATATTTGGACATGAATGGACTATATCAAATATAGCATCATCTGTAATTTTGTAACAAGAAGTGAGAATAAGCATTTGCAGATTTTGATTTAACTGTACAATTTTTTTGATTAATTTATTAGTAATCCTTTTACATTCTTCGAGAGAATAACTTCGTATATTTGGACAGCCAGATGCAATTGCACATATAGCTTCATTTGTAATTATTTCATTAAAAGACAAGTCCAAGTGTTGAAGATTTACACATGAGCGTGCAATCACACAAATTGATTTATCATAAATAGAAGGTTGTCCATTGAGGTTTAAATATATTAGATTGGAACAGGATCGTGCTATTTCAATCATAGATACACTGGAAATATTAGTATCTCTATATAAAGAAGTGAGATTTATATGTTTTAAATTTGGACAAGATTGTGCTATTTCAGTTATGAATCTATCAGTAATAGCTATACATGTATCAAGACTCAGATGCAGTAGCTTAGAACAATGTCTTCCAATTTTTTTAATTTGTATATTATTAAAACCATAGCTTCGATCAAGAATGAGAAAGCATATCTCCGGGCATGAATATAAAAATATACTGAGTAATATGTCTGGGATTTTTAAACCCGCCAATTTGAGATAAATAATCTTTGAGCAGTAAAAAGGTTTTGTTTTTTCATACATAACTTTTTTAAACTTTTTAAATCGTCAATAAAGAGGTCCAGATGTGCTTTCACCCCATTGTTTTTACCAATTATCTTCTATGGAAAATTCAATATGTTTCCATATAATTGAAGCATTACAGAAATACCAAAGGCGATTGACGAATAAAACTGGATAGAATACTTTATTCTCAGCTAAGAAACCAAATATATTTTCGAACAACTCTGGAATAATGAGTGGGTAGGCCATGTGGTGACTATATAGTATTAGAAAACTCTTTTTATATTTCTGAAATCTCGCTCTGGTTAGGTAGAATGTTTATTATCTTTTAACCCCTCGATTTCCTTTTCTAGATCAAGAGGGG